TGCGCCCCTGAGCTGTAGTACCCGCCACCCCACCCATCCGGTCCCCCGACCTACCACCCCATAACTGACACGTGACAGCCTGACACCATCCCTCTCCCACCTGGTCTCCCACGCCCTGGACACACAGCAAACGCCTCGTTCGGGTCCGTTCGCGAGATGCAGGCAGTGGTACCGAGCGCCCCCTCGCCCTCGCTCGCCGCTCGGGGACTGGTTGCCTCTAGACGACGCAGGGCAGAAGACGGTGAGGCGGAGCAGACGCGCAGGGCGAGACGAGGGAGGGAGCAGGACTTTGCGGAGATCAGCAGGAGGATGTACGAAGAGATTAGGAGCAGCAGGGACCCGAGGGACCATGTGGAAGACGGCTAGTGCTAGTCCCCCACCGGGAGGACGACCCCGGCTAGTCGCCGACCACACCCACAAAGAACCCTGCACAAAGATCGCAAGGGCGGGGGCCTGTTCCTTTTTACCCATCTCACAGTAGAGAGGTGTCCGTTTTTATTTATTTATTTAAGCGTGAGGACACGAGTTCGAATTCGTAGGAGCATCTGAGCAAAATTGAGCCCGCTCAGGTGTGAACAAAAAATATAAGGGTCGACCAGGTTTCGAACTGGGGACCTCCCGCCAGCGCACCCAGAGTTCACCCAGACCGTACACAGCGGGTCCCCAAGGGTGACGACCGAGAGAATTCACTTGGAGTGCTGGGTTCCGGCTCCTAGCCGGATAGGGGGTCTGTTGGGACTGGCTGGCCCCTCCCAGATAGGTAGGTAGGTTGGTATTGTTTGGCCCAAAAGGGCCCTGCAATAGGTAGATACCCCCTATTTTCATCTTTTTTCGCTTCGCTGCGCGGCCTGGGGATAGGTAGGTAGGTAGGGCGTTTTGGCGCGAGTCAGTCCCAGACCCCCTATCCGGCTAGGAGCCGGAACCCTGGCCCGCCCGAAACAACGATGCCCGCAGTCGACTGCGCCCCCACGCCCAACGCCACGTGCTCTCGCGGCTGCCTCGTGTGGGCGGGCACCGCTCGCACGCTCGCGGACGCGCCCCAGGTCTTCCGGCGCGCGCGCGACACGGGCGCCATCCTCGGCCGGGATGGTTCGCAGCGCACGCTGACCCTCGCAGCGAGCCAGAGCTCGCGTGGGCTGCTGAGCGTGACGGCGCAGGCCGACGGCTCGGCTCGGATCAAGCAGGCGTCGTGGCGGCCGCTGCTGCGGGCTCCGTCGGGAAAGCCGTCCTTTTCATTTGCGGTGCCTCGTGGCGCGAGCCTCTTCCCAGCCCGCGACCCGCTGGCGGTCGGGCGGCGGTTCGCGACGTGCGCCGTCGTCGGCAGCTCCGGCGCAGTGCTCTCTCCTCGCCCGCCCTGTGGCCGCGCGATCGATCAGCACGAGGCTGTCTTCCGGATCAACACTGCGCCGGTGCGCGGGTTTTGAGAGTACGTCTGGTCGCGCGAGACCTTTTGCGTTCTCAACGGGGCCGTAGAGTAGTACGTTGCAAAGCTGCCTGCACCCTACCCCAGGGGGTGGTCCCTTTTTCCTCCGTTCTCTTTTCCTTCCTTTTTTTACTTTCTTTATATTCTTCGTTGTCTTTTTTCGCCCGCTTTTTTTTTTCTCCTCTTACACTCTGCTTGCATTATGTTTTTTTTTTTCTATACTCTCCCTCCCCCTCCTTCCCTTTCTGCTTTTGCTTTTCTTTGCTTTTCTCTTCTTTTCTTCCCCCTTACTTTTTTTTTTTTTCCT